TCATCGGCACAATTAGGGTGGGATGACTTATTCACACTACTTGCCTTCCTCGCCGTCCTCCCGTCCTTCATCATCAACCTTGTGGGGCTGATCCCCGCGGGTCTCGGCAAGGACATCTGGACCCTGACACCGGATCAAATCGAGAAGTTCGGTTTCTGGTTCTACTTACTCGAGCCCATGTACTTCATCCAGATGGGCTTGGTCAAAATGGCCATCCTGTTCTTTTATATGCGTATCTTCGATCGAGCTGGTCTTGCGCGTCTACTTTGGGGCACCGTTGCTTTTAACGCTGTCAACACGTTCGTGTTTCTGATGGTTGGCATTTTTCAATGCACCCCCATCCACTACTATTGGCAGAGATGGGACGGCGAACACCAGGGAACGTGTATCAATATCAACGCCGTTCCCTGGGCAAACGCCGTCATCAGTATCCTCCTCGATCTATGGATGCTTGTTCTTCCCCTTTCCAGAATCAGAACTCTCAACCTGCACTGGTGGAAGAAGCTGGCTGTGGGTATGATGTTTTGCGTTGGTACTTTGTAAGTTCCATTGTGGACTCTCCATCTCAGAAGTCTAAGGCTAACAAGACCTACAGCGTGACCATTGTGAGCATTTTGCGGCTGCGCTCGCTCGTTCAATTCGCAACATCTCAAAATCCAACCTGGGATCAGTTCGACATTGCGTTCTGGACAACACTTGAGGTCCCCACCGGCATCATCTGCTGCTGTCTACCCGCGATTCGTCTCATTCTCATCAAGACTTTCCCGAGACTGTTTGGCATGCTCACGAAACGCTACGACTCCCACAAGTACTCGGAAGACCCCTCTAGCGGAAATAACCCGAGCAAAAGCCGCAGCCGCAACCGCATGTCTCAAGGCCCTAACACTGAGTCCTCGTCGACGACTGAGCTACAAGCCGCCGTACGCAACGGCAAGGGCATCGTCTGCAGCAAGTCATTCGCTCTCGAGACTCACGACTCGAACAGCATATACGCCATGCAGGACCTCGAGTCCGGGAGCGCCAAGAACAGCATCGCGGCACAAAGCCACAGATCGACGTCAATCTCCCACACGTCTAGCGCCATGTCGGATTACGGTGGTCCCGGACGCAAGCAGTCTGGTCCTTCGTCAAGGGATTGAGCTTCAACGCTGTGCTTTACAAATGTACACACAGATCCAGCGTCTGTACACACGACGCCACAGCTCCGCATGCTAAGCAGCCGCCTTCGGGCAGCAACATGTTGTGAGCACATGAGGGTTTCTTGTGTCTTGTGTCTTTGATGAGATGCTGTACGATGAGTATTTCCCGCGAATTGATAGAAGAAACGGCCTCGGCGTTGGGAGTTATTTTCCTTCCGGTGGATTTTCCTTTGTTTGACATACCCGAAAGAATCATGAAGTCGTTGGACTAGCATACGATCAGAGAAGGCATTCGATTGTTCCTTGGCCTGACGGGGAGGGCGGCCGCCGATGTGACCGTACCCTCTCGGCCGTAAAAAAGTGTACCGGTAGTAAGCCTCCAGTACCAGTGTAATAGAAGATAGAGCATATAACACATCCGGAAAATCAAACGAGACAAAAATTTCCAAATCATGTCCGTTTAACCATTTGCTCTTTGTTATTCTGAAAATCGTGTGCATGCGGTGATGTCTATCCGCCTCGCTTCCGCCGCCGCTTGAGACAAGGTGCCCGATGCGGTGCCGACTACGCCACGTCCAAGATTGGGTGTCTTCGCCATGGCCGATCTTCATTCCACCGGTGTCCATCGGATCCGAGCCTTTGGGAGACTATTTGAGTGGGGGGTAATGCCTTGCTTGCTTCTAACGGCATAGCTTGCATCGTTAAATCAAATCGGACTGTGACTATCGTGTGCATCGGTCACCTTTCCCACTTCCCAGGATAAACATTTCTTTGTCCAAGCAATCGACTGGAGTACGAAGACCGAAGTTATAGCGGGACCCTAGAGATCAAGGCCAGTCGCTTTTGATAAAATGCGAGTGAGTAATGGATTACGTGTCAAGCGGATGGGAGCCCGAAAAAACACGGATCGGGGCCGGGTGGAATCTTGGTCCTATCACGATTTTGTTCATTGTCCAAGAAGGGTACAAGGCACTAACACACCCGGACTGAGCGCACGGGAGACCAAGAAGGCTGTATACAACTGGTTCTGCCAACCTAAGGTAGGTCCTTAGGTACCTACCTGGGATGATTCCTGTGGCTTGTTGCATCTTGCCGTGCCTTCCCAACTGGGCGAGTGGGAAGGTACAGCCTAGATGAGATGGGAAGGTGCGGCCGAGGAGCTCTTTCCCCAACTTGAACTGATATCCACCACGGCTCTTGCTTTCCAGGGTCCAGTCCTGTCTAAGGATCACACCAAAGCCTCGCCTCAACCCGCCCAAGTCCTTTCGTCCAACTAAGGTCAGGTCCGGAGCGGACTAATCAGCATCTCTACTGTCACCTGTATGGTTCAGTGTCGAGTATACCATTCCATGATCAGGAACGTTGGTTCTTGGAGAGCCGCGTCCATCGCCATGTCCGACTTTTCCATACAGGCCTTCTACAAGAAGGAGCTACCCACGTCATCGGTGGTGGCGCCCACCAAGAAACACCATCAGGATGACGGCTTTACCCGAGCGGAGGTCGAGGCCGGTAATAATCCTCTCGAAAGGCGCTGGGATCCATCCGACGAATACCATCAAGTGTGCATTGCGAATATCCAGCCAGGGCCGGCGCTTATTCGCTTCACTGGCCGCATCGTCAACTATACGCCTGCATTTCTCGACTCCAAGAACACGTATACTCGGCCAGCACACCAGCTCATTGTCAAAGATGATACAGATGCCATCGCAGTTCGTTCCCAAGTGCTCTCTGTTATTGTTTGACGTCGAGCCTGACCGTCTCTTCTAGGTTAAACTTGTACCAATTGGTGTCCCTGTTCCTCTTCTCCTAATCGGACAGCTTGTCACAGTATGGGCAAGCTGGACGGGAGCCTCAGCCAATTCGAACCATGGAAGTATCCCCTTCGTCACCATGTATACTCCCATCAACCCAGCGGACGTTGGTACCAAGCAGTTCATACAATTCATCACAGACACACCCACGACACAGAACATCGCTCGGGTGCCCCTTGACTATGAGCGTGATGATCCAAACGCTACACCGCTCCCCAACCTGATGACACTCGGCCAATACCTCAGGACAGGCCATGACACAGCTGCTGCGATCCGCCTTATCGTCTGCGTGAAGAGCATTGGATCTCGCAAGCGCGTCACGATAAATGACGGCAGAGAAGCGGAGCTAGTCGATGTCACTGTATGGGATGACACAGCGAGCTGTACGCTGACGCTGTAGGATGACAAGGCGAACTCTGCGAAGCTGTGGAAGCCCAACGATACCATTCTTCTTCTGACAAGTCCCAAGTTTAATCCCCCCCGCGAGACCAAGCCCCCCAAGACAGCAGGTGTTGGCCTCACTTACAACACCCTCATCGACGTAGACCCTGATTTTCCCGATGGCAACTGGCTTCGCCAATGGGTGAAGAATAGGGTCAAGAAGGAGTGCATCTGCATATCTTTCCCCAAGGACGTCTGGAACGCCGAGGTGGCTGTTCACGGGCCCATACGACCGCTCTTCACTCTTGCAGAGGTAGACGAGTTCGCTCGTGCTGATCCGGCGATGGATTTCACGGGCAAGCTGTGCTTGACAGTCTTAGGGATGGATTTGCTCGGGCTCTATCGAAGGAAGATGCTCTGCTGCATTGAATGGTGTGTAGCATTCAACGCGCAGCATCACTTACTTGCACGTCATGGGCAGTTGCTAATGCGACCTTTTAGCTGCGGAGTTCCCTTATATGCCAATCACTCGTCCGCAACGTGTAAGAACTGCGTGACCGAGAAGACACTCGTACTCAACCCCCGAGTCATGGGTATCCTGGTGGACGAAACGGGGTGCATCGCACAAGGGAAGCTAGTATGGAGTGAGGAGGCTTGGGGAGAGCTCTTCTTCCCCGCCGATGCGAGTACAGCGGTCGCAGCTTCTGTCCATGGAGAAGCAGACAGCACGGCAGACATCGCTCGCCCTCCCCCGTCTTCTTCCAAGTGGATGGACATCTTGCAGATGGACACGGCCAGGTTGCGGTTGCTGGAGGAGCAAATGTTGTATTCCCGTTTCACCTTGACCTTCGGCTGGTCCCCTTTCGTCGAGAGACTGTGTGTACTTGGAGTCGAGTGGTGAAGTTTGTCAGTAGGGGAACCAAAAGCGGGGGTTGCAGCTTTGTTTCGTCAGGGTGGTGTAAGGTGCTGCGCCGTTGATGAGGGGTCAGAAGGACAGGACGTAGCTTTCGAAGGTACAATTTTGCTGGAGATGATGGAAGGTGCTATTGCTCAAATCAGTCCCTAGAGGTAGTCTATGTCGCTTGTGCGGGTTAAGCAGTTCAACAAAGACATTTGAAGTTCAAAATCAAAAGGTCCGTGGTTGAGAGGTCGTCCGTCCAACTGATGGTTAGTTGCTCTTTTCGCAGCCATGACCATAAACGTTTGAGTGTCTACTTGTGAATGCAGGCTCTTTTTTGGATGAACGGCATTTAACACATATTTTTGGGACCAGAGTTTGGTACAAGGCATGGATCTATTCATCAGATCATTGGCCGTTTGTTTTAATAGTACAAGGGCAACGCTGTTCGTCGCCAGGTCATAAATCTTCGTGATACACGCTTTCATCCGCCGCCGAGGCAGTCAATCGTGAACGAGGAAGCCCCATCTCCCTTCGCTCTCTTCCAGTCTCTCAAAGCAAAGCCACTTATCGCCAATCCGTTACCGTGAAAATGAAACCTTGAGCTATCCCCGTCCTCCCATGCTGAATACAATGTGTTTGTGTTGTTGTGTTGATAACTAGTTCCTCGAGAGCGCAAGCTTGAAAAAGGGATGATGAGAACACGACTGCCTGGTGTTACAGTGGTATGAGAGGGCTGCAGCACAATATATTAAGGACGGTGTCCCGATATCAGTGCTTGGTGATCTTCTCGTCACCGTAGGAGGAACCGCCACTCTCGGAGGTCTCCGTCTTGGTCAGGTCCTCGCCATCCTCCTCGTTGGGGCCGTGGATGGACTCCTCGAAGACGGGCTCAGGCTCGTTGACGTCGAACTTGGTTTTGAAGGCCGACAGGTTGTCAGCGTAGCCGCTGCTGTTGGTGCGACGCCGCGCGTTGGTGAAACGGAAGTCCTCATCGACGACTTCCTCGCCGGCATTGCCCCTGTGAACAGTGAATGTTAGTAGATGAATTCATGGGCAATTAAGAGTGACAGACTGATGGATTAGGGGAGGTGGCAGTGCTCTGTGGCATTGAAAGGGGTCGTGTGTAAGTGGGGTAGGCAACGCAGAGAGAGGTCCGAACGTACCAGTTACTTCTGCCGCCGCCGTTCTTCTTCACCTTCTTGGGGTCGACACCCTCGTGACCATGCTTCGCAAAATAGCGAGGCAGGTGCTCTTGGGGAGAAGCAGTGCCGTCAGCCAGGGCGGCGTGGTCACGGTCGTTGTACTTGTGAGAACGAGTCACTGCGGGAGACGGTGTTAGTCGAAGTAGCCAGAACAGTTTTATACACGCAGGATGTGGACCATTGGCATGCCGCCAGAAACCATTCAATGATGATCGGGGATGTTGCTCGATGTGTAGAGACACATCGAAGATGGAATGCTTGGAAAGCACGGAGGTGACGGGGAGACGTCACGCGAAGGGGGATATGGTGCGGGGCAGGGGAGAGCTTCGGAGGGGAAGTGCAAACATACTCTTGAAGGAATTGCTGGTGAGGTACGGTTTGTGGATGTGTGTGTGTGTGTGTGTGTGTGTGTGTGTGTGTGTGTTACAGGAGAAGATTAGGTCGACGGGATTGAGTTGATGGTTACAGAGCAGATCGTCGATGTTCGCTGAGTGAAATTGCGGTTGATGTGTTGATGGATTCGAATTGTATCTTGATGGGATACGGGTGTGATGTGAGGAGGAGGAGGGGGAGTTAAGTAGACGGGGAGAGCTACACAGGATGCTTTTAAAGGACGAAGGCTTGAGAGAAATGGCGGCCTATCAGATCACGCGATCATCAGACAGCTCGCCCAATGAGGGGATGGACGGCAAGGGGGGAAGGAGGTATCTTCGCAGGAGGTCCGGAAAGGCTGGGTTGGCCGGGTTGGCTGGGTCCTTGATGAAAAGGCGGATCGCGTGACTTCGCTGCAGATGGGGGCGGACAGCTGCTGCAGCAGCTGCAACTTGCAAGGGAAGGGGCCACCTTCACGACCTGGACTGCACCGTCCAGACACGGCGCGGGGGGGAGCACTGGGACGGGGGGACGGCCGGCGTGGACTGGCCGTGGTGGAGATGGGCGTGGACTGACGCCAGACCAAACCTTCCCCTCCTGCTGCTCCAATGTCTGGGCTTTTGGCTTTCTTTCTTTGGAGGAATCTGTTTGCTGGGCCCTCTCTGTTTGAGCTGTTCCTGTCATGTCACTGTCATCCGTCCCAACCGCAGAGAGGTAGGTACCTGCTTCGTGATGCTGATCTTCCACCTCTTGCCTCAACCAATGCCCTTCAATTGATCCATGCGTGCGTCTCTCTCCCTCAGATGCAATGAAAGGCAGGCCCTTCCGTCCTCTTTCCTCGCCGTCCCGAGCTGCATTGCGGCAATCCCCTGACCACGGGAGTACAGTGACGCAAAGGGTCCACTCGGATCCGGGGTCTCAGGTACCAGCTGCGCTGGGACGGGTGGCCAGATTGCGGGGTAGTGGATACCAGTGTACCATGCACCGCTAGGCCGTTACATGCCAGCGGCCACAACAACCGCCCACCCGCTGCGCCTGCCCAAGTACCGGAGCAGCACGCGACTGGTATCGCTCGACCCCTGCTATCGAGCCATTTAGGGGCCGCAACTGATCGAAAACTGCCCATCGTCAGTGTCGTCTCATCCCGGCATGTTCCTTTTTTCGTCCTACATCAGGGCCACAATCACTGTTGTTTTGACTCAACAGTTGGCCATTTTCCTTGTCGATGCTCCAGAAACCCTTCACCGTACCGAAGGCCAGAGAATGTAGTCTGCTATGGACTGCTTTCCGACGTCGGAGCATCCCCAACGGCTTGTTGTGGCTGATTCGTTTTGGCCATGTGGCAGCTTTGCTGTTCTCGCCCGCCCTCGAGCCTGGCTCCTTGCCAATGACTCCATCGCGGCAGCCTGCATATTGGCACACATGATCATGCTCCTGCTCGGCGACTGCCGGTCCTGGCCTGTCCTGCCAACGCCAGCTCCACGTCGACTTCTTACCTAAGGCACATTCTCTTCGGACACGAAGAACTCCGCAACCACCAGCACTGACAGTTGCAAATGTGGTCTCGATGGGGTTCCTATGGGTCTCTCATCATCACCTGCTACACTGTGTACGGCATTCGACTTCTGGGTCCGCTCATTCCTCGATACGCCAGTTCCCAACGAATCTGGAATGTTGGTGCATCTGCCGGAAAATGCCCGTATGACTGCCCTTTCGCGTTTCAATGCTGCGTCCTGCGTCCTGCGTACCGGTCCCAAAGAACGAGAACCCCTGAAGCTGGCCCCGGACCGGAGGACACCAATTGACCAATGGCTCCACTCGGCTCAGTCGGAGAGCTTTCTGGAGCTTGCTCGCTGGCCTCGCAACTACGCCTCCCTCCTCGGTTCCCGAAATCGCAACCGCGTGAGCTCCCGTTACCAGCTCAGCTTATGCTTCCAGCCGCAGCTTCTCACGCAGACAGCTCGCCACTACCACCATTGCCCACCTTCTTGCTGCGTCGATGCGGCGCAGAGATCGGAGGACAGCAAGAATTGAGGCCCCGTCACCTCCACCGTCGAGAGCTTGTTCTCGTCAAACGCGCGCCCGCCCCCCTGACTCGTGAGATCGGAACCCCGCCTGTCTGTGCACCCCTCTGATCTACTATGCATCCTGGGTCTGGTGGTTTGACGCGCTTGACGTGTTTCCCATTTACCTGCCGCATTCCTCTGGACGCAGTCATCCCATTCGTCGGGTGAAAGCCGGCCGATGGAGTGTTCGACTCGATTGTCGACCTCCAACATCGTCCGGATCCGTTTGCAGAGCTTAGTCTCGGAGATGCGCACTCTATCTGGTCTCGATCTACGGTGGTATCTGTTTGTTATCTGGGTCCAAGATACGGATAAGCCATGAACAATTGTGGACTCCCAGTCACGCCAGCAATGGCGGCATCTTCGTTTCCCAGATAAGGATGCCAAAAGCAGGCTGGGAGACGCCTCTCAGGGGCTTGTGTCCACTGTTGTCAGTCATGAACTGCCTCAATGAAGGCGGGGCGCCAATATCGATAGACGGCGGAGTGAGCGAGCAGCGGAGCCTCGGTTTTCCCCACGGGTCCCGTGACCACTTTTCGACTTCACCTCCTCTCCTTCCACCTATCGACCAGTCTGGACTTCTCGCCTCTTGACGTCTTGTTGTGACTCGAATTGTCCGAATCACGCTCTTTGGCCACGGGGCACCAATTGTGCCGAAAGTGGTGATCAAGTTTCCACGTAGCATCTTCGACGCCGCACCTGAGTCATAGAACATTCGCCGCAGTTCCACATACGAAGACTCGAGATGACTCCATACCCTGACCTGGTGACATGCTCAAATTGCGCCATCTTCATCCTCCGGTGTTTGATGTCGCCATGCCCGACAGCGCTGCATGTGAAAACTTCGTGGTTTTTCTGTGGCTCGTATTGACTTCATCTACTTCCCGCGATCTGGGCCCAGGCCTCGAGGTCTTAACAGACAGCTTGCGCAGTTGCTCACACCGCCTCCCGGTAATCTTTTAATAACTTTCCTCAAAGCTTCACTTATAGAGTACGTCTTGTCTAGCTTTCTACTGTCGATAGGTTCCAGAATGTTCCGTATTGCACATGCATCGATTGTGCTGCTTCGCATCGCTGCCTCAGTTCGACTGGCACTGTGAGAAGCCCTCCGCACTCGCTGCTTGAGAAAACAGAGGCAAGTAGCAAGTCGCCATCTGGCCTTAGTCTCTCTGAGCCTCCTGTAGTGCCTTGAAGGGGGCTTTGAATTAGTCGGCCTGCCAATTACTCAAAGTAAGATCCATAGCAGGTCAACGAAACTGTGCGTCGGAACCTCAAGAGCCGAGTCGGGCTTCTGACCCAGTTTGCTCTCATCCTCTCCATGCCTTGAACGATCGTTCATCCCTCGTAATCCCGCAGAAAGGTATCAACGACGCTACTCTATGTACCTGCTTGTCCAAACCTAGACACCAATGACCAGACTGCGACGCCTTGGATCTGGTTCAGTGCACAGTACTGCAAACAGTCCGCGGCGGACCTCCGCCTGCTAAGGTATCTCTATCCGTCTTCTGTGCCGTTCTTGTGGTCAAAAGGATGAGACCAGAAAGAAAAGATGTGCAATGTTGGTTGCGTCTGACCACATTAAAACTCGAGGTGGACATGGTAGATCCAAGAACTGCGGTCTCATAGCCGACCAGAATCCGTTGTAAAGATAAACCACCCGACATAAGTACGCTCGAGCATGTTGAGGGCAGCCATAATGATGACATCGGCAATTGAAAGCTTCTGTCCCCGAATCTGGAAGAACGCCTGAGCACAATAGTCTCCGCCAGTAGAGGAACAAACAGACAACTCTGAGCCGCTAGATTATTGGAAGATATCGAAAGGCGTAGAGACCTGATGTCCTGCGCAACGACGTGAAGGAGCGGATACTTCGCTCAAACACATGGCAAAGGCAATAGCCCGATGCGGGCATATTCCCATCCTTTCTCTGCAACTTCGATGGCAACTGCAGTGTTACCCACAAGTTCGCCAGCGGGGCATGCCTAGTTGATCCTCCACTCTCAATATAGACCACTCCCGAGCCCTATGCAAACACGACTCATGGAAGTTACAAGCAAGCTGTCCGGTGCCATACATGTGTTACTCGTAGCTTTCTCCACGAGGTTCTTCCTTCCGCCCCAGGGATATCAAAAGGAAGGTCGGGATCATGAGCCATATGCCTCGCCTGAATCCATCTTATGCTATGTTCTCGTCATGGCGCATCTGCATCTGGTTCCCGTGCGATTTACTGGGATATCAAAATCTCCTCCCTATTCACTTTCGCGGCGACTCTCGCCCAAATTTTGTCTTCAACACACAGATGGGGTCGATTCTTGCCTGAAACAAACCCGGATGGAGTTCTGCCGTAGGATTGAATGAATCTCCAAGCGGCAATTCGGCATTGAATCTCTTTCCTGAGGCCGTGCAGATCTATGCGAGTGACCTGGACCATTTGCGACCGCATATGCATATCGATGTACATGTGATATTTTCAAAAGATTTTTGCTATCCGGGCAGTATTCATACACACGTGTGTGGTTCGTGTATCCTGCTAGGCCCCCTATATTTTATAGCTTGTGTCGTCGCTTTCGTCGTCGCTGTTGTTGCTGTTATTTCCATCGTTACTATTATTGCTGTTGTCGCTATAGTTGCTCTCTATTCTTGTCGTGTAACGTCGTCGTTCGTCGTCGTCGTTCGTCGTCGTCGTCGTTCATCATCATCGTTTATCGTCATCGTTTATCGTCATCGTTTATCGTCATCATCTATTGCTGTCGTCCATTATCGTGATCATTAATACTACCTCTATCATCTTTTCTGCCACTGCTATCCTTATAGAAGTA